CGATCGTCTCATGCGATAACGCTTCTGTGTCATCCATTTTCCCCTGGAACCGAAAACAAAATGCAAAAAAAAAAAAGAATTATAATTGGCCCGAAGGAGAAAGCTGGGCCCCAAAACCAACGTCGATTGGCTAGCCCCAGGAAAAAAGAATAACGAGGGATGGAATAATAAAGGATGGAAGTAGGAGAATAAAACCAGGAGATACGGTAAGAAGAGTCTTGAGCAAAGTCAACGATGATAAAGAAGAGAAGAGAGAAAATGGAAGTCCGAACCACCTTCGGCAGAATAATGGAACTTCCTTCTTTTTTTCGCTGCTAAAAGTGTAAAAAATGTCGGAAGTTTCGATAGTAAGATTACTTCAAGAAATCTCCAAACTTTCTTTACTCGAACATCTGTCTGATTGTGTCCGAGTTCGAGTCGTCACTGTTCTTGTTCGCACATCGCAAATTCGGATGACATCGGTCGGTCGCAATGTTCTCTCTCTCTCTGTCGAGTAGTGTCGTAAAGTTGATTCCTTTCGGTTTAAACAAATGTTTAACTTGTTAATAAAAGTTGTCGCTCTCTATCAGGATCTACGCGACATTCATCTTCCTCCCAGGTATGTCAATTTATCATAAGTTTAGGTTTGCGTAGGCTGACCGTTCGGGCCTGACGGAAGTAAAAGCAAACCCTCACAAATATTTAAGATTTATTATAGAAAAACTTTAAAAAGTTTTTAATTGTTGTAAATAGAAAAATTTGCATACTATTCCGGCACTTAATTATATTGTTTTCGATCTTAGCCGTTCTATTTTCTATAAAGTTATTAATACCATCAGAAATACTCAGGGATGATTTCATATATTGAATTTTTATCATAATAAATTTTATAAATTATAAAAAAATCACACAAATCCTGTTATTCAATTTAAAAATGAAACTGCGTTTGAAAAGATTGATATTTACAACGATTTAGGTATTACTATTATAATATCTGCGGGTTTCTTTATTTCTATTTCAATTAATATTTTATTAAAATAAATTTTGAGCAAAATTTACGAAAAGCGTATTTATTTTTATAAGAATATTTGCTATATAGGTTTTTCTATACAGTAATACCACTTCCTATCATTAAGACACCGCATTCATTTACAGAATAATCTATAAACTAGTTGAATATTTTCAAGTTAATTCTTACCTTGTTCACAGTTTCCCTTTTCGCTAAATATCGACTGTCTTCGAAACTGTAGAAGATCTCTGCTATCGCCCACCGTTGCCAAATCTTCGCTAGATAAGGCACAATGCCTAGTCATAGTTTCGTAATTTATAGAACGGCACCGAAATCGTCTTTCTAGATCACATTGTTTCTGACAGTCGTGTATGTCGTGAGCTCTAGAAAGTCTATCGATGTAAGGAAAGAAACGATCTGGATAATCTTTATATTGGCACGTGGGAGGCTCTAAAATAAAGTGAAATTTGAAGAAAGAGTCTCTCTGAAGTGTAATTTATAATTAATATCACACACTTTACCTTTTATGCATTGATTTTCAAGATAATCTACATCTTCACTTTTCACAACAGCAGAAGGCTGGCTCCTCCGACTTTCAGAAAAAAGTCGACATAACTTTAATTTATAAAAGTAATTAGCAGACAAACAGTTCTTGTCTCTGATGCATAAATCTTCACAGTCAGTTCTTTCTGGTATACTTGGTATATCCATGAGCGCTGTTCCTTTCATTTGGTGCCCTATAACTCTTTCAAACGTCCAATACTTTCCACAACCCATATCTGTAAGAATATAACAATTTAAGTTTAACTAAATCCTTATCGCTGTAAAAATTATGAAAGAAATCTATTTTTTTAAACATATGTTTAAATTAAGAATTGCATTTTACAATTGTTTACCTCTTAAACAAACTTTCTCATAGTAAGCAGCAAGAGGAGACGGCATGAGAGCATTTGTAATTTCTGATGCAGCAACTTCCAACCAATAACAAATCTGCACAGGCGTGTAAAGAATTACAAATCCTTTGCATCTGTCTCCCATTCGTTGACATTCGTGTTGGCATTGCCCCAAAATGCCTACACTATCGATAATGGGTATTCTGTGCTTTCTTAAAAGACGAGGATCGTAACCCACTATTTTCTCGTAAGTATATCTATCGAAAGTACATACACCTGGTCTTTGAGTAGGAGGTACTACTGGAGGAGTTAGGATAGGTGTCTCACGTGGAACGGATCTTGTAATTTGGTTTTTACAATCCTTTTGAGCAAATAAGGATTTGTGGCGTAATTCAAATGCGGTATTCGGTAAACTTTCTTTATTATCAGAACTTAATAAGCATTTAAATTCGCCAGTTCCATCAACGTGGCTATAAGATCGACAGTTGAATGCTCTTTCTCTATCACATTCTTCTTCGCATTGCTGTGAAGTGACGATGCCATGAAGAGTACGATCTACATACCACATGTAAATCCCTATTTCTGGTGACTGATATGGACAATTTGACGTTTCTGAATAATAAATAATTAGTTATTACAGTGTAGAATATGATCTTAAAGTATTTTAAATATACATCTTACCAGAAATGCATTGATTTTCTATATAATCTACTCCAGCAGAGAAATGCAGTTCTGCAACTGGTGAATTTTTATCTTCGGTAGAAAGTGTACATTCTCTGCGAAAACTGTAATAATTTGACGACCTGCAGCGGAATCTTCTTTCTTCCAAACATCTACGTGCACATTCCTCTCGATTCACCTGTCGTATGACATCGACTGGTCTTGTCACTCTCAGTTCTCTATCCATTAATATATCAACAGCCCAAAGTTTTTCACACGGAATTAAAGCTAAAATTAAAATANATTTCCATCTTTTATAGATACATAAAGCAAATTATATATATGTAAACAATCGTAAACTACAATATTCTTAGTTGGAAAAAATTAATTAATATTTATAATAATCTAGTATTATATTAATAAATTTTTAATAAATAAATAAAATTCATAATAATTTCTTTCGTTCAAATTCAGGCTCTCAATGTTTTCAAGCATACTCGTAACCTACTGATTATCTTTACGTAGCGATAATTTTATAGTTTTATTTGATAGC